AAAAATTTCTTTTTTTATCCTTAGTGAATGTTAAAAAATGAGTAAAGCTTGGTAATTCAAGTTCTTCAAAAGTGATACAACTAACATTTTTGCTATTACACTATTGACATGATTTGTTTTTCATTTAAATGAAAAAAAAACAAAAAAGAAATATAAAAAAGATTTTTTTTCTCGTTTTCAGAAACTTTTTCTTTCTTCCGTTAACGACCCATTAAAGCGAAAAAGGAATGAACTCATTTCTTTCATTCATTATTTGATAACTTGACAAAAAATAGCTAAATCCGACGTAAGAAAAATTTTCCAACTCGATATCAATACAACTGATGACTCGTAATTATATCGGTAAAAGATTGAGAGTAATTATTTTCAGAAGTTACTAAGTGTCATATTAAGTTTTTCGTTCAGAAAATATACATGTATCATTAATTTAAGGAATACATTTAAAAATCATAAAGGTAAAAAAAAACATTTAAAAAACACCGCGACTGCGAGTCTCGTGACATAAAAATAACGGATAACGATACGAAAAAAAAAAAAAAAAAATTATTCTCACCACCTTTAAACAAACAGTATACATACAGACAACCAAAGACAATATTATACAGACAAACTCTTTTCAATAGATAAGAAAAAAAGGAAAGCGAGCCTGGATTTCTCGAGGCAATTCAGCTCGTCCTTTCAATACCACGCCCGCGCATATACATCTCGTTAAATTCACTGTGTAGGTCAAAGAGCAGCTCGTGCCTTTTCATATCAATTTATCCCTCCGATCCAATCATTTCTCTCGTTTTCCCGGATATCCAATGCATATGGGGTCATATAATACACTACGCTCGATATGTCATTTTTAATATCCCTCCAGACGCCGTGAAAATTTAATTGCGTCCGTGTGATTCGAAGTAAAATATTTTACAGCCAGACAAAGACCTACAGAATCGGAGATTTTTCCACACGCCGTAAAAATTTCATTTCGTTTCGTCACGCCCTTTAATTCACTCCAACTATACATAGGTATGTACGTGCTCCATTAGAGGAGTGATAAATCGCCCTTCTTGCACCATAAATCCCGGGACAAAGTCGAAAATTACTTTTCGCGAGCTGGTGATGGAAATTTTATTCCGTACGGTGTATCTGCTGTTTTCACAGTACAAAAACAAATTGGTTTTTGGTCGTCATTGACTTGACGAGGTGATACAAAAAATATAGATTCGACAACCACACTCGGCATGGAAACTAGAAAAACGACAGGAGAAAGGACAATGAAACTCGGAGGGTTTTAACGACGAAGAAAATATCTCTTATTTACGAATAGTCTCTCAATTTCCATTACCTAAAGCACAAAGAAAAATATATCTCTCTAAAGTCCTTTTAATTGCTCGCGATTAAAAAAAAAAAAAAAAAAAAAAAGAGGAGAAAGAAGAAAAAAAAAGATGTGTAGAGTGTTAATTTACCTTGCCTCTAAACATCTGCATTTGGTATGTCTTCGAACGAGACGAATAAAATAAAATTGATCGATCAAACGAACTTACCTGTTAGTGATGTTCTATCGTTATTATATTAAAGAGACTCGTTCGAAGACGTACCAATCCCACCCATAAGTATGATGGAAGATCATTATCTACATTCTAAAGAATTAGGCAAATTAAAAAAAAAAAAAAAACTAACTTCTTCTAATAGAAATGACGTACAGGCGACCTATCAGTGCAGGGCCCTAGGGCCTTTGGTAAAAAAATTAAGTACTAACTCTAAAAATCGTGATATATAGCTAGAAAGAAAGAAAATTGCATTTGGTATGTCTTTCAACGAGTCTCTTTAATATAATTACGATCGAACATCACTTACAGGTAAGTTCATTTTATCGATCAAAAATATGAGATCGGAAAATTTTCTACAAATTCTCAAACTAAAAAAAAAGTGTTTGTTGCTGTATATGTGTGTAAACGCTTTGGAAAAAAAGAGTCCTTCTATTACAAAAAGGGGGTGGAGAAAGAGTAGGTATCTTTGATACCAGAAGGTC